TAATAGAGGTTATCAGCAGATCATTTAAAGGGACGCCCAGTGCCGTGTGCTTACCGGTCTCTGAGAGGATCTTGAGGGAGTCCAGAACACGCTCCGTGTAAATGCCTGATTCATAGTTCTCCATCTCGGCATTGATTATATGCACAACGCGGGCAGCCCGGCCTCGGATAGCGCCTGCAGTACGATCCAATGTGTCCACGTCGCCCTCCTGTAGCGCAATGACGCATTTATTCACGTCCTCCAGGATGTGGTTCTCTGAAGGAAAAGGGGGGGGATCAGACTGTGTCTTCATGATTGTCGTCATCATCATCATCATCATCATCATCACCATCACCATCCTCAATGAACAAAAATTTCCATGCTTTCAGCATACCAAAAGCCCAAGTACGTCCACAGCAGCTCAGAGTGTAGGACAGATGATGAAATGAATTCCTTAAGTTTGTGGTGCATGAACCTTCACATACTGCTGAAGCACATACTCAGCAGAAGCTACCTGAGACAGACAGGAAGTCATCAACGGAGGTGATGTCATCCACAGCTTCAGTCAACACCCGGACCTGCTTCTCCCACTGATCTTTGAAGACATCCATATTATCCTGGGCGACTTTGCTCTGAGGCCGAGCGGCCAGTGTAAGAGCAGCATTGATCACCTAGGAAACAGAGGTAGGAAAATAAATATCATCCAGATACACTGGTTTACCTATAAGAAGGTCAACTTTGCCTAGAAGAAGGTCAATTTTGCCTATAAGAAGGTCAGCTGCACCTTTAACCTGCACCTGCCTAACAAATTATGGCATTTTATTATTTTTCTTTATCATAATTTATCCTCTTGCAAAAACTGGACCCAACTCTATGGTTATTTCCTTAATATTGTGGTGGTCAGTTCATCAAAATGGCTGTTAAACAGAGGAACATCTAACAGAAAACTGCCAGAACTGCAGAACAAGCATTTCGAAAGAAAACAGAAGACTAAACCATACAACAAACAGAATATTTTCAGCTATAATTCAAAGAGTGGATGTTGAGGCTTAGTGACTCCGAAACAAAAACCTAAATTGTGCCTGAAGAGGCCTGAATGTCCTGTCCGTAAACCTCTGTCTGTCCCTTCATCCATAAACCTCTGTCTGTCCCATCATCCATAAACCTCTGTGTGTCCCATCATCCATAAACCTCTGTGTGTCCCATCACCCATAAACCTCTGTGTGTCCCTTCACCCATAAACCTCTGTCTGTCCCATCACCCATAAACCTCTGTCTGTCCCATCACCCATAAACCTCTGTGTGTCCCATCACCCATAAACCTCTGTGTGTCCCATCACCCCCATCTGCCCCCTCCCCCCCCAGGAATGTCACTATGCTCTTCCAATCATGCCTGACTTTAAGTCACATGCTCTCAGCGTGAGGTGAGTCAGCCCTGCTGGCCGCGGCTGGTTGCCCCTACCTGTGGACACAGGCTGTCGATCTGCGTGGCGGCCATGCGCACCAGCTTCACACCTTCCTCGTTGTTGGAGATGGAGCAGGCCAGGTTTGCCACCTGCGTGAAAGGCCATGGAGCAGCTGGCTCACTCGGACATCGGACACACTCAGAGTCCAGCGCATGTGAAATGGGACATTTTACACACAGACCACAGTGCTGTTTTCACACTCCCTGATGATGTCATTAAGGTCCTATGCTGCAGGCACTACGCATGATTGACGCCATGAGTGTCAGTGGAGGAAATCTCCATGCTGCACGAATCGCTTCCACTTCACGGCACCTTGCTTTGAGCCACATATATCAATATGCTGATCCTCACATGCAACACGTAGCATGTGGTCCATAAGAGATCAGTGAAGTTAAACAGATAAGGCAGATAATGATGAATCTTCCCTTCTGCACGGGCACACAGATATGCAGACATCCAGGATATTATTAATGACCATAAACAGAAAGTTAAATTTCTGCTAGCTTCTTAAGAGAAACACGACACTTTCACCTGGATGTAATGGATTATATTAATCCCCTGTTCTACATCCATATCCAATGTGTGGTTAGGGTCAGCCTGGACCCTATGCCAGGAACAAACACTACAGATGGGATGCTAGTCCATTGGTGTGGCTCACGCCCCAAGGACAACTGCAGCAAGAACCCAGAACAGCTGACAGAAAGCAGCAGAGCACGGGATAATATGCAGACTCCACAGGGGAGAACATGCAGATTCCACACGGGAGAACGTATGAGCTCCACTCAGGAGAACATGCAAACTCCACAGGGGAGAACATACAGACTCCACAGGGGATAACATAGACTCCACAGGGGATAATATGCAGACTCCACAGGGGATAACATAGACTCCACAGGGGATAATATGCAGACTCCACAGGGGAGAACATGCAGATTCCACAAGGGAAAACATACAGACTCTACACAGGAGATCATGCAGACTCTACACAGGAGATCAAACAGACTCTACAGGGGAGAACATGCAGACTCTACACAGGAGATCATGCAGACTCCACATGGGAAAACATGCAGACTCTACACAGGAGATCATGCAGACTCCACATGGGAAAACATGCAGACTCTACACAGGAGATCATGCAGACTCCTCATGGAAGAACATACAAACAGTCAGCTTGGCAGCACCTGAACCGAGCCGTGGAGGTGAGCTACCTAGCCCTGCCAAGCCACTGTACTGCCCATGGAGCGATCAAAATTAATAACAAAACGTACACAGTCCTTGGAGTCTTTGCTATAATGTCATTTACATAAAGTTATTTCATTAATAGCTAAAACCTACACAGGACTACACAGTCAATTATGCAGATCACCATGGAGAAAAAATTAGCTTGATTTAAAAACATGTAAATCAAAATTAGAAGCTCTGAATCTGTAACCCACACATGCATCCACACATGTACAAGGGGTGACAAAATGAAGAATAAGAGTCAGAAAACTTTATTAATCCAGGAGGAAATTACTTAAATTAATGCTTAGTGCTAGACTACAATTCATCAAGAATGATGATGGTGTCCTGGGAAATGGACTGGACTTCTTATACGTCCAATATCTGTAGCGTTTCATTAGCTTTGGCCTTTGAGTGGCGGTGATGATGTCTCATCAAGAAAGATGAATGATTATTGATTGTCTTAGTTTTATGGTAGTCTAGCAAGAAGAACCGTAACCAAGGGATTTTAAAGGGGTTATTTGGTACCAGTTATGTGCAAATCATATTCATTTGCATGGATTAAATGAATCTGCTGCCAAAAGAGGCTGGCTTTTTAGTTAACGATACACTGCTAATGCAGGACATTTTAGATAAGACACTGTTAGGGTGATTCTAGCCTTGCAGTGTATGTGTCTGTGCCAAGCTGCCTTCATAAACATAAATTGACTCTCCTTTACACACCAGAATCAGAATGAGGATGAAGATACAGAATGATGATGATGAGGATGGTGGTGGAGTGTCTTAACAAGCTCGCTGTGTGATTAAAAACACCTGCTGAAGGTAAACGGCGACAGCTGAACACCCCGGGATAATTATATAAAGTGGTCAAAGCGTGAATCCGAGGGGCTCCTAGCAGAAGATGAAATGCAGACGTACTGCAGTAACTCAGAGCCACAGGAGACTAAGGCCTCGGTTTGTTTAGCTGATGTTAGCAGCCGTTTATAACGCAGACATGTTAAGCGACGGAGAAACCAGGAAAGCCTTAGCAGTTTACTGCATCCTGCCCACCCTGTGCTTCTTCACATCGCTTACGAAGGCAGCATCACTTTGGCACGTACTCCTTTACTCATTTACATCCTACAACGGAGGCGAATGACACAGCCCACATTTTCCATGACTGCTTATTCCAGTTCAGCGCAGGGTGACACTATGCCTGGACCCCTCCCAGAATGAACTGGGCACAGCAAACAGAACAAAGGACGCCAGTTCGTCACAGACCTCAGAGCTGAACCCGAAACCCCAGAAGTGTGACGCCACTGAGCCACACCAGCCGGCAACGCTGGAAATTTCCACACAGCAGCAAAGGGTGACGTTTGTCATTAGCCGAGTGTCTTACAGGCAGGTAGTGTGAAAGCTTCAGGTCCCCGTGACTGAGAGGTTGCACAGAGCTCCTCAGGTCCTAGCGTTAAAAAAGGAAACCATCATGCACTGATTAAAAAAGCAATTAAACCACAATTAATTAAACAAACTACAGTCGACATCTAAAACATGCGTGAACTTTTGTGATGATGTTGCGAGAGACCTGTACGGTGTGTCATCAGTGCAGCACAACACGCAGGTACACTACCAAGGATTCAGCAGGCTGCCGCTGTAAACTCAAGGGGAAGAGTTCAAACTATACAAAGCAATTAGCTGCAACCCACACAATGTTCACAACGAGATTAATGCGAACACCCTCGTGCTGCTGTGAAGGCTGAAAATCTCAGCAAGTTGCTGTGATAATGAAAAGGTTTAAGACGACCGTCCCCCATCGGCCACGTGAGCAGGAGGAAAAGTCAATGGGAACAATGTGAGAGGGCAGTATGGCAGTTTCCTTAAGATGCCAATTATTTTATTGTATTTAATAAGAATAATTGCATGATGTACTCTAACAGGTACAGTGATTTACAGATAAACAGAACTCAATGCAGGTCATAGAGTCAGCGTCAGAACAGCAGGTCTATGAGAATCACCGTTTGTTTCTTACTGTTAAATTCAGTTCACTCTTCTACTGACATGGTTAGAGAAAGTTAAAAATAAATATAAAACACATAGATATAAACATTATCTGAGGAAACAAGTTTACTAAAATGTTTGTATTATAGTAGGATGGTGTAAGAAAGATTGAACAAACTCAAAAACTGCCACTGATTCATTTCATGCAGCTGAGTGGGAATGTTGGAATCAGGAACACAGCCATGAGCTGTCCAGGGTTCCTGTGCTTTGCACTTTGCTGTGCTGAAATGTTAAGGATAAAGTCACGCGTAGCATTTGACTACAGGCAAAGCACAAATGACACTGTCTGTTTCCCAGCACTGACAGGTGAAGGCACTATGGCCACAGGCTTGGAAGCTTTAAACCAGCGTAATTGAGCAGAAGCAGCTCAATGGTCTGATCAACAATGACAACAGAAACCTTCAGCTGGGCTACAATGAAGGAAGTGAACCGAACAGGCTGCCAACTGTCTGAAACAGGAAAAAGAGTCTATAATGAGGTCTCTGTGAGTCATGGCAGGGAGCCGGAAGGGCCTGGTCTGATCAAGGACCCACGACTCAGCAATGGCCAGTAGGGGGCAGCCTAACATCGCTCCTCATATCCCTGTGTGTGTGACATCACTACACTGTACCCCAAGCTTTACGTCACTGACATGGTGGCTCTGTTTAATGTTAACTTCATTTCACTAATGAGGCTCAGACTTTTTCTGCTTTTATATATCATGTCTTACCAGCAAACAGCCAATCCCAGTTTGAATGTAGAACCATCCATCTTCTCTGAGTATTTAAAGGCATGAAGAGCTCACACACTCTGTCGTTATCGCCTGATTTCCACTTCTGCTGCTGAGTGCTCCCAAGCAGGCTCTCATTTTCCTGTATTTTAACAGCCTCTTCTGTCCCGATTTGTTGAAAACAGTCCAATTAGTTAAATGAGGTACATGAATAATCCAACTGCCTTGCCAATAGCTCACAGAGAATAAAAATAGAGAATATTATGATTTATAATCATTACAGCTGAAGAGGTTTTTCATGTAAACTTACTTTTAAGCATGTGATCACAAAAATACTCAATCATAGTTTTTATTCACAACACAGTTAAGTATTATTATGTACAAGCAGTCCCTGGGTTAAGAAGGTCTGACTTACAGACAGCTTGTACTTACAAACGCACTTACATCAAGCCTGTTATATTAAACATTTGGGGTAAACACAATGGTTCACAATAATGAACACACACACTCCTTTGTGATGCTCATGAAAACACTGCATGACTTCAGCTGTGTGTCGACTTGAGGTGCAGTACAGGAATGTATGTAAGTCCTTCTGTTATTATTGTATAATTATCAGTATCATTATCATGTGCTTCATTATGATGGTTCCAACTTACCTACAAATTCAACTTAAAGACTTAAGTTTTTGAATAAAAAAAATTACCGTAAAGGAATTTAAGTCCCGCAACACAGAAGCTGCAATGACAGAGGCGTAAAACAAGGGCAACATAAAGAGCCAAAGAAAGAGAACAGTAACAAATCCTTATCCTGGAACTGATTTCATTAACAGATTAACTTAGAGCGAGAGGAAGGTGTGCCCTTATACAGGACAGGACAGGAAACTAGAGACAGCCGTGAAACTTATGGGTAGGAATGAAGTTTACAAGACGTTACTGTCCAGCCCTGTCCAGATATTACTGCTTTCTCCTTCCATACACTCTCATTTTCTGTACTCTAGCAGCTGTTTGTGGATCCTTTTCTATGGATAAAGAATCAAATTATACACCCTAAGCACACATAGAGGGGAAACACACGCTAAGG